TGAGAGAGAAGTACCTGATCTTAATGTCAGCCTGATGAGTGTATGTGAGAGAGAAGTACCTGATCTTAATGTCAGCCTGATGAGTGTATATGAGAGAGAAGTACCTGATCTTAATGTCAGCCTGATGAGTGTATGTCAGAGAGCTAGAAGTACCTGATCTTAATGTCAGCCTTTTTCGGTGAATCAACCTGAGTGAAGGTTACCATAGATACGTCGGCCCAAAATTGAAATGCTTTGTARAAAATACGGTCCTGTACTTGTTTACCCAGATCATCACCGTAGTCCACATAATAAGTCAAGTTCGTCTTGCCCCAGTTCCCTACCGTGACATATCTACGTCTCCTAGCACCACCCTCTTCGTCAGACACACCGCATCTTGATTTCTTCATTAGGCCAACTGTAGCCTCATCAAGTTTACCGCTGACCGGTAGATGGAARTACTGCTGGAAGTTTTTAATGGCTTTATTGACGTCATGGGTCCCTGAGCGGGTTGGTGATATGTAATGGTACTGATCAAGATATTTCTAAAAAATAATGAAAAGTGTCGGGTTTTATCAGTCTCAATTGAAAGTTAGTTTAAAAACACTGACTATCGATAATTGACCTTTTCTATGCTAAAACCAAAGCAGGCAARATGGCTTTACTGCAGCCCTGAAATGAACAAGTCATGTGATTTCTCACATACGAAGAAGATTTGGCATCTTTGATTTTGAACCAATCAGAAACAATCTTTATACAACAACAGATCATTTATAAAGTACATTGCACAAAATTCAAAACGGATTGAGTCAGGCGAAGTGTTTGTCCTTCGTGGGAACGTGGTTTCAATTGACTGGATGTTGAATTAATACCATGTAATACGTATTAGTTCTACTTCGAAGAGAAGCCTGCACTCTRCCGCAAAATGTTTAGCACAAACTAGATAGTTTCAATGGTCCTAAGGCTCCTCGTTTTTCTAAAATTTGAATAGCAATGTTTGATAGTCTTTMCCAATCTTCCTCCCTTTTATCCCTTAATCATTTTTTTTTCCTTTTTTTAAAACCAAAACCTTTAAAACGTAATTTCTTACCAAAGCAAAGGTTTTATCGTCGTCCGCCAAGACAACAGCTAGATGAGACAGGATTATTAACAAGTACAACATTGTGTTGTTCTAGCAAGTAGYCCAGTGCTCGGTAGATACAGGCTATATATACACCACGCTTTCTATATGATATCATCTAGAGTAAATCAACACTATAATGACATCACAACGAACGCGTCGCCAATTCTGTATGATACAATTACCTCAGGTATCGRTGACCATGCTGAGGCTGTGTATATATTAATAGCATAAATATCTCTATAAACAAGTAATACCATACGTTTTCTTTTTGTGTTAATCATCTATGACTTAAAACTGAAAAACTCATTATTATTCTTTCCCTATGCATGAGCTTTTCCTCTATTAACGCATAGGAAATCGGCTATGATGAGAAGTAAACCATGTTGCACTAAAAAAACAAAAACAATTAAATGGAACTAAACAATGTAATAAAACAATAAGATTTAAGAAAAAATAATTAATAACAATCTTTTATTAGGAAAAACTAACACGTAAAGTGGTTTCAAAGAGTTCCTAATTTTATTTTTAATTACTTTTAAAAAAGTTTAACTAATATTTAAATGACATTAAGATAAAAGTACATGATAATTATACGTATATAAAACTGTCCATCGATAATAAAAGTAATGAATGATATTATAAAAATGATAAATGACTTATATAACAAAAAAAAATATAACATATAAAAAGAGAAGGTGCTTATTAACAGATGAAAGCGTAACTTTGATTTAAAAATGTTTAAAGATGGCAAACTCTGATAGATAGATCAAAATTGTTCAAATCTTTAAGCATGTCCGTTTCATTTTCCAAGAAACTGAACGAAGTCTGAAGAAAACATTTAAAAAATGTTCAAATACTTACAAATAACTCCTCACGCCAAAAAATAACTGTTTCTTTGACTGAAACTGACCCGCATTATTGTCAAAAAYACGATGCGATTCTTTGTCAATTCTCCAGTTTCCAGTAATTCTTTGTTCAGCATATTGAGCATCAAATGTGTGTTTAATATTGTAACCCGTGTGATTTACAGCTATCTGTATCGTCCTTTTCACACCCTGTTTTGTCTATCTAGTGGATATCATATGTATGTAAATAGATACAGATCAAATATAGAAAACTTAAAAGTTAAAAAGGGTAATGTCCATTGAATATTTTTGAAATAAATATCTGTAAAATATCCATTCGATGAATCCCCGCACAAAGCTTGAAGAGTATACTATCATAGCWGAAACACATTACTATCTATCATACCTCTACTTCTAAGGCCCTGTTTACATGATATAGGGTGGCTCCTCCAGGGAAAAGAAAACAAAGTAGTTAGCCCTACCACGAAGGTGCACCCTGTCTCATGTAAACAGGGACTAAAATATCAAATTCATCCGTCATTTTGGAAACGTGGAGCGGCCAGCTGCAAGAAGTAAAGTATCATCAGCTGGTTAATTTGTAAATGCTTTTTTAATGATTTTTTTTGTCAAAAAGAACATACGGATGAATACGAGCAATAAACGACAACATGAGAGTACTAAAATAAATGTAATTTTTATTGAAAAATCTTGTTTTTAAAAATAACAAATTTAATTATTCAGGCAGCGTTTGACATATAACCCAGGAGTATTGGAAACGGCATATTATATAAAGACTCGTTTAACAACAAGCTCAGAATATTTTTTTGAATGAAGGAATCAAAGTAAGAATCACGCACAAATCCAGCACAATGTGTAAAGCCCTCAAGCCGCTCCCAAGGCCTGACAAGCTAGTGTAGCCAACTACCCTATAAGGACCCTAAGAAATGTTTCCAGAGAAGGATTGYCTATGAGATCACGTTCCCAAAATGTCACTCAAAATACAAAACTTCTCAAGATCAATACATGAAGAAATAAAAGATTGAAGCTAAAGTTTCTCCCGACGGTTCTATTGTGCTTTCTGCTTTTTTCAAGAGTGTTTTCTTATGCCTGGTGTCTATAATTGCCCGAGTCCTTCCAATCGCCAGAAAACAATAGAAATACGAATTGGAAACGATATTGGTACGATCCTGAAATGATGGGTTGAGCTGCGGTGAATAAATGCGTGTGATCGCCGCAGTGAAGTAATAATAATAATAATCTCTAAGTTATTATTAATAAATGTATCACCCCAAAAAATCATAGCATTTGGCATTAGGCCTTGTGTCCATATATTCGTCCGATTGCTCAATAACGGGTTTTTGCATTGTTCAGCTAGTTTTCTCAGGGAAATTAAAAACAAAGCAAAACACTTGGGACAGTTAATTATATGGATACAGTCCTTACCAAAAGAAGCAAGCTGGCAACGCGTCTTCTCTTAGGAGATGACTAAATGAGACTGAGTACATGAGATCACTATAGGCATGCACGCAGAAGATAGAAAACAAAGAAATGACGTCCACATCATCAATAGTCTCCTTCACGGTTACCTGCGCCATCTTGAAAGGTAGCCGTGTCTTTACATCGAAGCGAGACAACCATTGAGCGTGCAATGATAGATACCTGTGAATAATGGCCTGTAGGTGTGCAAGAAGGTTTCAAAAACTCATTAATTATTCACGAGGTATTCAGCCAATCCCTGTTTGTAATTTGTACCACGTGAAGTAACTTGAAAYCAGAGGAAGTGCTCGTACCTTGTATTCTACCTTATTTCCAGTTACTTCTGCCTTTTTCAAGTTACTTCTACATTATTTCCAGTTACTTCTACCTTATTTCCAGTTACTTCTACCATGTTTCCAACTACTACTAGCTAATGATAATCAAATTATTAGAAATAATCAGTTTAACATTAATTTAGTGAAAAAAGGTCTTTGATACATGACTCACGACTCGATCCCCTACCTTCCAGTCTATATGCGCCGTCTTATACCATTACGCCACCGAGTTTCTGATGCGATTCTTCGGAAGAGATAACATACTTATAAATCTTATGGATTAGACTCATTAGGAATGCCATGAATAGGCTAGCAGGCAAAGACAATTTGAATAGCTTTTGTTTCAGAAAGCCGTCCGGGAATTGAAGAACAACAAACGGTGCTTCATGCATTCAAAATTATGAAAACTGAAAACCTTAGTGGAGATGCAATAAATCAATATATTTCTGTTATATGTATTTCCTTCGCTTTTTTCCCCTCCCGAATAATTAATGAGTTTTTGAAGTCGTTCAAAGGCCTCCAATTCGGACTTGACGGGATTTCAAAGTCCTTGCAATTAGTTCCAGTCCTCGGCTAGCGCCTCGGACTGGAACTAATTGCGCGGACTTTGAAACCCCGTCAAGTCCTCATTGTCGGCCTTTAAACATTACTTCTATCATTGCATGCTCAACGGTCGTCTCGCTTCGATGCAAAGGCACGGCTACCTTTCAAGATGGCGCAGGTAACCGTTAAGGAGACTATACTCTGCTTGTGCCTAAATACATGTGACCAACATGTAAGCACAGTAAGATCGATCCCTTGTAAAAGTCTCATCTAGAGTAAAATTGTATCTCAAATGGCAATGCAAGATCAAATGCACATTCCTAAAAGTGAAATCTATTGTTGATGTACAAAGATCCCTTATTAGGAATAAACACCAACAGATATTGCCGCCATGTTGATGTCCACAGCAATTTGAATTCAATTCAACAAGAAGTCTAGTATTTGTTTGTTGTCCATCAATATAAACTATCATGACACCTTCGCTTCTGTTGTCAGCCTGATGCGATGTTGTAGTACTGTCCTACGTGATTTTGTTCGATTCCAGTCCTTCGAAGCAATGACTCGTCCATTTTATTATCGCCAGTAAGAACTGTGGGCTCAGGAAATGCATCATAGTCTTCGTTGCTTGATTTTTTACATAACTCGTCCCCAGTATCCGGGATGGTTTGATAGAGCTCATTATCCGTCACTTTCTGTAGTTCTACATAAGATGCCGATCTCCCCTTGACAGTCGGTACCTCAGGTAGGTCACCTCTTTTCCTGGTATTAACCAACTTACTTCCGGTCACATGACTTTCTTTCTTCCCTGAATTGTTGGATCTTTGTTGCTTGTAAAGCAGAAAACCAATCAAAATCAATGCTGCGATTAACGTAACTGACAAAGTCACCACTACAGGAAGCAAACTTGATCCGTTTGAAATTYGTGACCTTGATTCTAAAAAAGAAGAATAAAAGCCAWCAGCTTTAATAAAAAAATRTGATRCYAAATAGACTAAATATGATTCTCGTAAKCTTTTTCACATGATAATATTAAAATTTCAATGAATTMAATTGTGTTGGTCTTTAAGCCTGGCCTTCACYCATATTTATCGTGTGTCTCCAGCTCAAATCCGCATATTAATGAATCTCTTTTGTTTCGCTTTGGTTTTGAATCTCCTGCGGTTTATACGAGTTTATTGTTTGAGTTCATCGATCGTGACTAAAATGGAAGATCATAGACAATAATAGAAATCAAAGTTTCTACCACACTGCCTTAAACAAATCACTTAGTCAACAAACAATGATTACAATGATTATAGCAATCGTTATTTGCTCTTCAACGAGTTACAATTAATGAAATTTGATAAATACATTTTATTAATTAGGCTATATGTCATAAAAACCCGCATTGGTTACTTAAGGAGGCTAGAAAATTTAATTGTAACATGAAAATTTCAATGCAATTTTTACTTAATACTCCATTTTGCGAATTCAAAGCGAACAGCCGCTGCTTTATTTGACCACAGATTCTCTGGCGCAAAGACATTACAGTAAAATTTAGCACGAGAAAATGTCGTTCTTACAATAGCTTTAAAAATTTGCATTTTCTCCGAGTCGACACCAACCCTGTATTCCCATGAGATCTAAAGGYTCAAGCTTTCTAGGAATACCGGGTTCTGGGTGATTGATTTGCGACCAGGCCTGCTTATGAATTCGCCAAGGTTGTAAGCCAGTGAGCCCGTGCATTTTTGTTAAGCGGTCATATTTGAAAGTGTAAATAAAGGAAAGGGAAAACCCGCAGCTCTCGTTTCACTCAGATAAACAGTACAATTCGTGTTAAATTTATTTACATAACTAAACAAAATGATTATAGAACTAAACCTTTAAGAATTGAATGCTCATATCAAACATTTTCCACCTTAGATACACACGTGTTTTTCAGAAGGGAATTTWGTCGAACTTTTTTCACGATGGAATTTTGTTTTGAGTCGTTTCAACATAAACAGTCGCTATCAAGACATTACGCGAAAAACCCCAGTCACCGTTCTAGCTGTCGTTGTAAGGTCAAAGCTAGTACATGTGTAACCGACCTGTTACATAACGTCAACTCGTTGTGTCGAGCATGCTTGCGGGTTATTGCCGAAAATGCGACAAAGGATGAACCACGACTGTTGTCACTACCAAAAATAACAAACGCTTTAACTCTATTGGAATACGTGGAGCTAAGCCGCTCTAGCTCTTTCAGTGATGTTGTAGATACCTCAAAGTTTAGAGGAAACAAGAGCTAAGAAAAAGGATTTGCAATGGTTCCTCCTAAGATACTTTGGACTTGAACGTCGCTTTAACGACCTTCTGAAGTCTTCGTGAAGTCCGCCATTGCTTGGCATGCAATGGAGAACCCGCGTAGAACACAGACCAATTATTTTAATCAGGGAGGGGAGTCTCTAGGTATTAAAGAAAAAATTATTTGTTATTTCTTTTTTAAGATAAAATTCTATTTCTATAACGATAAATATTTGATTGACATTTAATAAAAGCTATTTTATAAAGATTTTCAATTTCTCTTTGCGTTTAGCTTTGATTTTTCGGATAGAATAAAATGACAGGCAGCCTACTCCACTGGGTCGAGTTTTGCTATGCAAATTCCTCCCGTCGGAGGGTTATGTTTACAACATAAGCTTGTCAGCTTTGCGCTGATTGGCTAGTCGCATTTTCTCAAATCACCCAGTTAGCATCAACTCGGGGAAAATGCAAATTTTTAGCCCTATTGTACAATATTTTCTCGTCCTTTCTTTTTGTGTTTGGTAAGGCCCNAAAGGTCAAGGATTTCTGTCACACAATAGCACTTGAAATACGAGATCGAAAGCCACTCAAATAAAAAAATATTTCTCAAAAATGAACAGAATTGTCGGAAGCAAACTACACCTCGATGATCGGCATACATCAGGCATTTAATGACAAAAATTGGAGCGAAATTGATTATTCGTTCGTTGACCCAACAGCCTTTTTGAATTTGTTTGTTGTTCACTGACATTCGGTCTTACTTATTTTTAGCTGTAGATATATATGACAAACTAATTTATATTTCCATTCCGCATAGTCAAAGTGCGAGGAAAAACCGTGCAAATATAATGGCAAGTGCATTCCGGTATTTGTCACCATGGAAACCTACCAGTGCAAATGCGTTCCAGGAACCACGGGAAAAAACTGTGAAATAGAAGGTAATGATGAATAGTGAGGTCAGCAGTCTTTGATCATGAGAGCTTGCTGTTTCTCACAATGAATAGTCGGGTCTCAATGGGATTATTTTTTAATGATTAAATGTCAAAAAAAACAAAAAACACACACACACTCAAAAGCTAAAAATTTATGCCCAACTTATCCGTGAATTATATTAGCCGATAACAAAACGAAAAAGGGACTGGGTACGAACTTCCAAATCTAATTAAATAATGGTTCCAGAAAGAATAACCCCATCATGTGAAAGAACACCTTATAAAAGGCTTACTGACTAAGTTTCATGATGTTTGAACTTATAGCAATAAAGTTACGGACATTCAAACCATGCCAAAATTACAAAGAAATGTATGGTGTCCAGCCGAAGCGTCCAGCCAAACATACATTCTTTGTAATTTTAGACATTTTTGAAAAATTATATTCCCAATTCTAAATGACTTAAACTTGCTCAAACTTTAAAGTTTAGCTAATTTATATGTGCTTTATCTATCAACAACAGATTTCTGTAAGATTGTATCACTTTTTAAATTTTCAGTCCCAGGCCCCTGCTCGTTTTGTTATCGGCTAATAGGTCATCTCTTGCCGATACAAAGACACAGCTAACTTTCAAGAGGCACAGGGAACCGTGAAGGAGACTATTACTTACTCAAATTCACAAGAACAGTGACATAGGCATCATGGACAGGATACATAACCTTGCACATGTAATTAGTCCCGCACACCACACGACGAGATCCAGTAGTTTGTCTAGCACAATCAAACGTAGAAAACACATCGTTGGCTGAGGTATACGGTACTTGTAGCGTTAATTGATTTTCTCCGWTCATCTTTGTACCATTTCTATACCACTGAATGTATGGGTTTGGYTCTCCTGTTGCCATACATGWTAACATTTCTGATCTTCCTCGAATGCTTGGTAGAATAACACTAGAGGGGTTGATAGACGCGGTTGGGCGAGTAACTGATGATAGAAAAGGTAATTTGATCTAATTATAAGACATAAAATCTCTTTATTCATTTTTGCTGTTTAGACGCGTTAAATCTATTTAGTAGGTCCTCACCAAATTAAATGATTCTACAGTCATTGTTTACACTAGCAATGTTCAAAACGAAAAACCGCTSTCTTATTTCACAACAGATTCTCTTGAGCAAAATACCTTACCCAACATAAAAAAGCGCGGAAAAATGTCGGTATTACCATAGTCTTGACAATTTCCCTTTTTTTTCAATTGACACTAAACCTGTAATCCCAGAAGGCTTAGGAGTTTATTTGGGAATACAGGGTTAGCATTAATTAACCAAAGGAAAATGCAAATTGTTGGGGCTGTAATTACAACACTTCCCGTGCTTCCTGTTGTGTTTGGTAAGGTATTTGCGCAAGAGAATCTGCTGTCAAATAAAACAGCGGTTATTCACATTCAATTCGAAAGTGGGTTATGGAATAAGTTTTCACACGAGTAACGATATCTCAATTTACTGGTTTATTTGTTTCTTGCTTTTTGTTTTTGTTTGTTTGTTTGTTTGTTTTTGGTTGCTGTTGCTGTTGTTATTGTTGTTGATGTCGCTATTTTTGTTGTTGCTATCTTAGAATGATACTGTGCATAACCCCAGTTATATCAACACTTACAGAAATCACACCCGAACAGCTCAAGTCGAAGACAATGTCCACCGTTGCTTTCCTGGGGACGAATTTGAATATAACGCGCTCCTATTGGTTGACGCAGCCAGTGAACTATGACGTCATTTTGATTGGTATTGCCATTGAATATCTGTTAACAATTATTGCAATTATACCCAAATAAGGCAAATAATAGCAGTGATATTAAAAATAAATAATAGGCCTTTGCATGAAACAGTCACATGGTGCTAGATCCACCATACTGGATGGCAAATACCCACTGGGATGATAAAAGAAAAGAAAAGTCAAGTTTGACAAGCTGTGTTTCTTTTTTTTTTTGAGGTTGTTTATATTCCTTTGTCATCCAGTATGGTGGATTTAGTATCATGTGACCGTTTCATGAAATGCAATAAGCCAGTATCATATAATTACTTGTGAATTACATTGATTTGTCRTTTTTTGTTTGTTTATTAGACGTCATAATTATTGCTGTTACTATTTGTTTCTTCATTTATTATGATGGACACGAATGTCGTAAATTATTTCAATAGTTATCTTATATATAAAAGAGCAGCATTGTTATACAGTAATTATATGCACCTTGTCAACGTTTCCTAGAAGATCAACCCAGTCTCTATCGTCCAGACTGTAACTGACTTGAAATGACGTCACCCACTTAGGTTGTGACGGATCACCCTGTGTTGCCAGGCCTGTTACCGTCATTACTCGTCCCAGGTCAATCTGTAGAATTACAGAGCAAGCAGACAAGTAAGATAGCCGTCAAGTGAATTTTCATGGATAACCTTCATCACATGTGCATATTAAAATCAATAATTACTGCTTTGAAACTCTGCAATATCTTTTTAAAAATTTGATGTTTTGAGTGACACTGATCTCATCAACCCTCTCATAACGAAGCTTTAAAGGATCATGTACATCCAAGAGACTTTTCAAGATTTTCACAAACGAAAATTCATCATCTCTGATTTTTAGAAAGTACCGTTCAAAAACATATCATTTGCAAAACAAAAGAAATGACGACAAAGGTTCTTGGACAGGCGTGGGCCATAATGGAGTATTGATTGTTTATCACATGGAAGGGATTAAATTGACTCTTAAAGAGAGACCTGTAAATACTCGGTATTCAGGGAAGTGTAGCTGCACCAAGACGAACTTCCATATAAACGACCTCGATGAGCACTATGGGTATTGTCTGACGTTGTAGATGACGTCATCTGCGAGTCCAGAATCTCCTTCGATTCAAGACCAAGAGGAGAAGAGCATGCTGAAAATAAAATCAGTTATGTTAAAATGTTTTCGTACGTAGGATTCATTATAAATACTCAGTTTTGTTTCTTCTACGTGTGTTTTAATTTTCCAAGCTTTCGGACAACTTGTCCATCATCAGGGCAAAATGAAATTACAATGCGTGCGCGAGGATAGACAAATGTGACAAGTCTGCATTAGCAGACCATGCTAACCACACAGGACATGATATCGCCTGGCAAGAGTCTTAAATCCTCGCCCAAGAACCTAGATGGATACAAAGACGCTGGCTTGAAGCTATAAAGATTTCAAAGAACAAAAACTGCCTTTTTAACAAAAATAGTGGACGAACTCTGCCTGATTCTTATAAAGAACTCTTAACACATTAACTAGTCTTAACATTCTATCCTTTCTATTGTAATCC